TGTGTTGTTGCTGTTTGACACATTGTGGGACTCATTGCCTTGCTGAGCAGCTGAATGCAAGAAGCAGCAGCAGCAGACTAGTACTAGTACTAGTACTAGTACACTGGAAAATAATCTGCAGTCAAGAACAACAAGTCCTGTGTCTAGTAGCAGCTTGTTGTCTCAACTTGTTGCTGCTTACAGCAGAACAAGAAGAGGATACAAGAAGCACCAATTATCATCATGCTTTCTTCTTGCTGCAGAAAGAAAAAGTAGTAAAGTCCACTACTACCACTACTACTAGTACCAGTTGACACTCCAATGCAATTGTACTATGTTCAGATAGTTCTTGCTACTAACAAGAATTATTTTGAAAATGGTGCTCATAACAAAACCTAGCATTTTGTACTAGTACTAGTACTAGTACTACTAGTACTACTAGTACTACTACTAGCTGCAAAGAAGACAAAATACAAAGTGTGGGAATAAGCCAGCAAAGTGCTACTACTACTACTACTACTAGAAGGTCTTCTGCCATTGGCATGCTGATTATCTTCCTGTCTCAAGTGAATTCTACCAGCCACTACTACTAGTACTAGCTGTAGGTATGGATAAAGCTTTTTCTTGTTGCTGGTGAAGAAAGAAGACACAATGCAACAGAGAATGAAGCAGGGTGCGATGACAAGTAGTAAAGAAGACCTGCACCCTGTGCCATTGAGTTTGTTTGACTCAAAACATTATCATTGTCCATTAACATGCTCAAGAAGAAGCTCATAGAAGGTAGTACAAGACCAAGGACAGACATACTAGCAGTACTAGTAGTATTGCTGWCAAGAATCTTGCTGTTTTTATTCTTCCTTTTAGTAGTATTAGTAGTAGAACTAGTGGTACTACCACTGGTGGGACATTGGGTCTGCTGACACAGCTATTGGTTGTTTTGGTGGCAACAGCAGCAGCAGTGGAAGCACCAACAAAAGAAGCTCCCTTAAAAACAGGCCTTGGATCACTGATCAATGAAAGTGAACAATGATTACTACYACTTACTAGCTAGCACTACTACTGCCATGTCACAGGAGTACAGCAACTACTACAGTATAGGTCTGATAGAAACCCAAGAGTAAGAAGTATCAAGAGGACACCAGCAGCATCACTACTACTACTACTACTACTACTACTACTACTACTACTACTACTACTACCACTACTACTACTACTACTACTACTACTACTACTATTCCAATTCAAATTCAACAAGAAGCAATAACACCACCACTGGTGTTGTACATCATCTATCCTGTCAAAGTACTATTAACAACAAGCAGCATAACCCAATTTTATTGCTGTCAGGATTACACAAAAGTATTACCACCAGATGCTGAAAACACCATATGATGAAGCCCATGGAATTATACCTGATGATTACAACAGTGCAACCACAAAAGTCATGGAAACACCTCTTGTAGTAGTACTACGTCACAGTACTAATACTACTAGTGATATCAGTTGAGACATTTTTTGAAAATCAATCACCTGTGTGCAGAGACTTACCACAGTAGAAACACAATAATAATAGCTACTACAACTAGTATTAGTAACTAGTAGTAKTATGAAATCACTCCAGCTGTGCTCCTCAGGAAGTGCCATCCCTTGGAGCAAAAACTAGTAGAAGCATYTTTCTCCACCAGAGAAAGGTCTGGCTTACCTAGTGCCTCTTCTGGTTCATGGGGTTAAAAATAATATGAAWTTTTTTTACTGTAGCTGCTACTAGTATAGTAGAAGCTAAATCAGAGGACCGAGGACTACTACTGGTAGGCCCTTTCAGCAGACTGGTAATTTGGTCACCMCAATATTGTGGCTACTAGCAGCTGTTCAACGACAAAAGCCAAAATAAGGAGTCTTCGTTCTGTGTTTGATCGATATGACGGAATACGGTACGAGAATAGGCACACAAAAAAATATCGTTGTTTGGTGGTGACTTGATTCCTAATAGAAAGCCATGATGGAACAGGTTGCAATGAGTTTGTATGATAAACTCCTCCTTCTTGTATCGAATTGATTTATAGTACTTCGGTATTAATTCTAGTAACCAAGCAACGGAGTGAAAACGGCGAAATTCATTCCTCTTTTTTTTAAGCGCAACCCTTCTCCTCGTTGGCGCARAGCGCGGGGATGTTGTGAATTGTGAATGATGAAGCATGGCAACAAACCGAGAAGATTGCGTTTCATTGGATTCCCTTCCTTCGACTTGCGTTTGGCCATTTATGCTCCAAACAACCGCTTTCTACCTTTCTGTCGTCGTCGCTTGAAGATCCTCCGTCCTCCCACCGACTGCCTGCGTTTCATAAACCCGCACTGGCGTTTCTTTTTCAGGAGGGACGGCTGATAGGTTCGCTTTATGAGCCAGATGGCCCACGAAAGGATCGACGACGAGTTGCTTCTGCAGGACAGAGAAGCGGCCTCCCCCGCCGCGGCGGTCCGTGCTGGTGCGAAGAGTCCCGGGAAGATGGCTGTGTTGGGGACCGCCGCGGGGGGCCACAGAAGCGAAGAAAAACCCCGGAGGGAAGAAAGGAACCCGTGGGGGGTTCCCCGGATGCTGCCGCCGCCCGAGCGGGACGCCGCCGCCATTGCCACCGGCGAGTACAACGCCGTCGTTGTGGAATGGCTTCGGGCCGGCAGAGGCAGAAAGCGTGCSCGTGTCCCTCTGCCGGGGAGCCCCACCCCGACGGAAGAGTTCCCGCGGACGACGGCGCGGCTCRCCAGCGACGACAGAGACGGCGGTGCAATGCGTGCCGCTCGGATCATGGTGGTTGTGGTGGGTGGTTGTGGTTGCGTAGCGCGATGCACCGAAGCTTCTGGTGTGTGTSTCTCTCTAGGTTCCTGTCGCTGCCGGGTTGTGACGCTGCGGAAGTGCCTTGGTCGGTGGTTTGGTCTAGCGATCGCTAGGAGGTGCGACGATGTTTGATTTTGATGTCTTGCGTTGTGAACGATACGCAGGTAAACTACTGGGTACCATACCGTACCGTACAACTCGTAGGTGTGGGGGTGATTGGCCTGGATTGGTTTGGGGAGGCCACAGGAATTCTGAATCTCTCGTTATTTTTCAACTTTTGTTGGGGACACGATTCTTGGTTTTGTCTGTACTGTGAGCAATTCGTGAGTAAAAAAAATGGAAGTAAAAAAAGAACATCATGTATGGTACTAGTACTTGGTACGTACTTATCTTAGCCATACAAAAATGAATACCGCCCGGTACAGTACGGTAGTGGAAAGAACTGTTACCAACATCGATCCGACGAAWACACAGAACAGAAGTAACAAACACATCACAGTCAGAAATCACGTCGCACGGAGTAATCGAGATCGCATCAACAGCACGYTCCCTTTGTTCCCTTCACCAAGCGAGCGACCGCGTCCGTGGCATCCGAACCAAGGATATATTTTCGTTCTGTAGACGAAATCTGGATTTCGGAACACCGTTGTTACCGTCGTTCCTGCAACGCAACAAGCTTGATCCAGTCGGAGAACAGAACCATCGTCGTGTACCCGCTGCCGTGCTCTGAGACACTGTTTGTGGCTCAAACCTGCCATCGAGACTGCTCCGATATGATCTAGAAGCACACGGTAACGATGGAAATAAAGAGTTTGGAATCATAAAATGACACTGAGTTTGAGCCAGCTGTTTCAGCAGTCCCAGTCTTCGCAATCACCCTCGATTCCAAAACAAGAGGAAGTCGACTCGGAACACCGGAGCAACAACCACGGACCGCCAACCAAGCGCTTCAAGAACGATCCAGAACAGAGCGCTGCCGACACGGATCGAGGCGATGGTTCGGCCAGCAACAAAGAACAACGAGATGGGAAGACGCCAGAGGCGAAGCCCGTAAGAATAAAAACAGAAGCACCCGGCGGCACCAAGCGCAAAATCAAAGAGGAAACCATCGACGAGGTAGTCAAAAACGACGCGAACGACGATTCCGGAAACCAYCGGGAAGAGTACGARGACGAAGAGGACGGCRGCGAACGAGACGACGTTGTTGACCTGTCCGGCACCGATGCCTTTTACGAAAATTACCCGCAGACCGCGAGGGCGCTCTACAGATTCCAGGACACAAMGCGGGACAATAAAGAGTCACAACCCAGCGATGGGCACGGTGGGGACGAGAGCCAAGCGGACGCCCTGGGAGYCATTCATTCTGCCCTGTTCCCAGCGAAAAGCAAGAAAGCCCTGGCCATGGGAAACGGCCGCCGCCTGTCGGGCGCGTTCGAGGACGAAAACCACCCCAGCARGTCCCTCACGGGTCGCCTCCGGCCCCGGCAAAAGCGTGTCCGGGTCGAGGGCCCCTCGGGCAAAAAGGAGGTTTCGCTCCGGCTGGAAACCCAGGAAGAAGTGAACGAGCGTGTTCAAAAAATGGAAAGGTGGGAGGAAAAAATCATGCAGCGGGTGCGATGGAAAAGACGATTGGTCAATTTCCAAGCCGAGGACGATGTGGGAAATGCATTTTTAGCAAGAGCGGAACAGGACCTGGGAGAGGGCCTGCGAGCAGATCTGAAAGAGCGTCGAAGKGAAGAACAAAGGAAGAGGGAGAAGCTACGGAAAAAACGAGAGAAAGAAGAGCGCAACCGATTGAGAGAGTTAGAACGCAATGATCATTTGGAAGAAGACGACGAAKTAAAGGAACAGAGTCAACTATTGGCTCAACTTACTCAGCAGAGCGATCTCGTGCCGAATGAAGACGACAAAGAATCGGGAAAAGGGGACGGTGCCCCTTCGTCGGCGGCCTTTCTAGAAGAATTGGATTACTGGGAAAAAGGATACACCTATCCCGAAAGGTCTCTCATCTCCTATAATTTACATCGGTCGGTGAAGAAGATGGTTCAGGGAGCACCAAAAACCTTCTCGGGGGCTCGTGGTAAAACTGCCCAACATGATGCCGCCGGTGAGACCGACGACAAAAAAACCTCGCTTGGCAGCCTCATGAATGAACAGTTTGGAGTCCATAAATCCTATCGGTTCTTCTTCGAACCGAATAAAACCTCGGTCACAACTGCCAACAAAACAGTTCGACCCGGATTCCGGTCCGGTCACGTTCGTCACATGGTGAGCATGGCGGTGAGATCGCTGTGTGGTGGCGGTGGCGGTGTTGGTGTGTCCAGGGACGACATTGCTCTGGAGAATCACTATATTCGACTCTTGTGCATGCGAGCATTCAACAAGGACGACGCCGATACCGCTGTCAATCCAACGATCTGYGCTGARTTTCGCACGAGAGGCTACCTTGCTGCAGCATCCTTGGAGCAAGGAAGTAATATGTTGCTGTACTTGCAAAACAYATGGGACGATCCGGCAAAAGTTGCAAGAAAATTGGGAATCTTGGATTGCTACCAAGACTCACCAATCAAAGGAAAYTTGTTGAAACACATCCGAAAGCATTCGAAGAACTTACGATCGAAAATTAAGAGGTCGCACAGAATAAGTTCTGCCGATTGGTGTAGCGACAACAACGACTACGAAGCCGATCACGATCTCGACGAAGGTTCGAGTGCGACGCCGGAAGATAAAGTTACTCCGGAGATAACAACCAGCGGTGGTGTTGCCGATGCTGTGACGACAGAAACTTGTCTGACAATTGACAAGGAAAAAGCCATTAATCTATCCAAAAATGATCGTGATGCACTCATCTCTCCGAACAGCTTATACAGCCACATTKCCGGCACAAGTCCTCCTATTCCGCAGCATCCATTGGATCCTTCCTCTTGCTTATTTGGACCTGTGGATCGCCATTCCAAGTTTCATCACATCGGTGTGAAAATGGATTCTKCTATATCCAAGGTCATGTTATCTACGTTGATGAAGCGAGTGGGCAGGGCCAGAATAACAAGCAACGAGCCACTTTCAATCAATACGCCAAAACAGATACTGGATCTTGTTCAAGAGTTTGCAGATGTTAACGAGAACAAACTTTACCTACGATACACGAATTATATTCAAGATCCTAACGACTCGGACATACCTCTAGTCGAATTTTATCGTGGCCTTGCCGAATACTGTTCTTTCATGGCGAAYGGTTATCTCGAAGTGAACCATTCGAATACGCGTCCGGCTGAAGTACAAMAGACACATGATGAGCGCGAAGACTTCGTCACACAAGCTTCGGGAATGAGTCTACTTGCAGAGAAGATTTGGGAGTTTTGCCGCCCAAAAATTCATCAGAATGCCCTGATACGATTTCCAAAGTTAAAAATCACATATGGAGTGGCTCTTGTATGCCGCAGTCTTCCCTCTTCGGCGGCCGAAATTTTGTCGAGACCAACCGACGATGATGGTTTCTRTACCCCTCTGRATCTTTTTAAACAAACYCTAGAAGATTTGGAAACCAAGAAATATATTTCGTGTACTTCTGATCGGCATTTTGACGACAGCGATGCCATTCGTGCGGTGGAATTAGAATTTCTCTTGCACGACGCAGCGGAACTCTTTCACGAAGCCGTAAAACTCGATCCAATAAATGTTGACTACCAAATGTGGCACATAGGCTGTCTTGCATCCTGCTTGCTTGTCTCGTCGGGAAACAAAATATCGGATAATGTACACATTTATCCGTCACAGAAAAAGGGCAGTTTCATGAACCAATACATCGCCAATCACGAAGTGCGCTGTCGTTTGAAGAAATACCATGAAGTCAGAATCGAGCTATCTAATGCAATCAGAGTTCTCTTCACCCTTGCTAAGTACCAAAATAGTGCTAAAGTACACCTGGCAGTCTATTCATTACTGGAATGGGGACAGGTCATCGGTCTCTTGGTAGGAAATGTTCTTGACCAATTTTTGCAAGAAATCAATAGCTTGCACGCTTTTCATTTTAAAGAATGGGCTAGACGTGATCCTGTTGCCTTTCTAAGACAGAACCAAAGCAAAGACAGAGATTTTTCCGACGTTCCTCTCTATGCTCAGATTTTGGAGAGCGATCCCGAGGATATTAGAAATTGGAGAAACTTTGTCCAATGCTTGGGTCATRTTCCCAAAACAAAGAAAGATGACCCGGGGTGGTGGGGGGAGGACCGTAGCTGGTGGGGAGATTCTCTTTTACATTTATTCACACCAGAGGCAGTTGATCGAGCTCTGATCAATGGAGATTTACATGCGGTAGAGATCGTGATTACAAAACTTGAAAATGTAGGACATCATCTCTCAATTCCTCCAGATCATTTACCTTTGACGAAAAGTGAATTGGATACAGAGCATCGGAATGGTATKAATTGCGAAAGCTTCGAATGGCTACCAACGCACGATAGCATCATGGATCAGATCAACAAAAACGTAGATGATTCTAAAGTTGTGCGGTCCAAGTGCTTCGCGGGTTCCCTCCCAAGGAAGAATGGAAACTTTTCTGAAACCRAACKGGTTGGATCCGATAGAGGCTCRCCAGTCTCAATCCATTCATGTGAAAGTTCAGTGCCTCTTCCAGAATTMGTTTCACTCTCTGAAGAAGCCCAGGCGTACAAAATCTTCATTGCATGTCATTTGTTTGGACTTGATCATCCGCCGATTCGTCAATGCATGTACCACAATTTATTTCGCAAGTGTTATAAATTCGAAAATCCGGAAGCAGTCAACGAGAACTGTGATGAGTTTCGAACTTTAGCCTGGTTCCTCTCTTTGGGAATGAATTTATCAGAAATTATGCGAAGCAGGTTTTAAAAWCTGTTTCGACACCAAGGAACGGTGGTTRGCTGGTTGCCCTGATTCCTTCAAACACTCAAAAGATTGTTTCGTCTGATTAAATTTGATTGAACTATGCAAATAACAAATAATACAACTTYATRTTTGGAGACTTCCTCAACTTTAAYATTATCGGATGTTCAAAATGCATTTCCCAAAACGGACCTATTTTCTTACCCTTTCCGGACAGTCTTGCATTTGTCAGCTATTGTTATTGTGATCCCACATAACTTCAGCTCCTGGTACTAATCGCGATTGCAACTTGTGATACTATGTGACATAACCTGCAAAATGTGCTGATGCAAATTCATCCCATAACTTTGTGGTTTACATTAGTGTCAACTTATTAACTTTCCTTCCTTTAAACCAGCCTGTARTAAAAAATAGTTTTTAGTCAAAGTAGTCATTACACAGCAAAAYAAGGGCCCAACATCTACGACTGCTTTGTAGATTGGCTGGCCAACCCYATATGATAGTAAGAAATATAAGAACAAATTGTTGCTTCTCCCTGAAAGCTCCTGATACTGTTCTAATCCATTGTGATCTTTTACAAAACCATTGATAAAAAGCACTATCAYTACTAGTACTAGTACAAAATAACCATTTCCTTTAGAAATACTACTAGTTGAGCAAGTACAACCCAGGTTTGTTGATTCATAAACCCCATCAAAATCTAATCTGAAGAATAATCTTGATCCTCKGTGGCATTCTTCAACAAATGGGGAACCATGCTGTCTCCTCATATAACATTTCTTTCTAATTAAAGTCAAATTACTATAACAAGGAATACTGTGTATCTGCACTAGAACTATCACTACAATGTTACTTTGATGACACAAACAATAAGATTTTGATTAGAAACTCTGTCCATCCTGGTTGGAATACTACTAGTGCCTTGTTATGTCTTATCCAACAATGYATTAGCAGAAATGATATTATTCACCTTGGTTGACTGAGCTGTATTGAAAGGACCAACACMTTCAATAATATTTCACTTAATGCTGTTTTTGGGAATAGAAGGAAAGCCTTCTTTTGCATAATCCAATTTTGGGGGCATCCCTTAACAAATAGAATGTTATAGTACAAAGGAGTTCAATTTTCTTTTTGTCCACCAAAAATTAATATYGACCTAAATTTATTCATGATCAGGTGTGAGGGATTCAAAGCTCATCATTTACAAGCATATGATCTCTGTGGAATCTGATGTTGTCACTTGGATGGTRCCAGTATTCTTATRAACCAATCTCTCTTTCTGTGATACTAYGCCAAGCATTGAAAGGAAAGATTGGTGTTGGATRCTTGATGAGGCTTGGGTTGCTGTTGMTGTTGCTGAACACTTTTTAATTTTWATATACAGCCCTKTATACCTTTCAATAGTCAACAACCCCCTACCCCCCACATGACTAAATTCATCTTTTTACTGGGACTTGATTCATCTGCCTGCCTATCATAATTAAGCATCCRTTGGGGACCAAGATATAGCTGTTCAAGTGAGTTGRCCCTTAGCTAACTCTCTATGTGTATTTTGTACTGTGTGTCAATTTTGGGCTATCTTTTTACCATATAATGACTCATGGGATTAAAAACTTRATACAGCAATAGCATGTGTTAAAGCAAAAAGCAAGAAACTATTTGGTCACTCACTGGTGGGATTCAAAAATTCAGCAAGTACTGAGCAAGTGAATTTTGTATTTTTATTAGTTTKCTTAGTCAAAGTTGTCACTAAACGGAAAAATAGGGCCCAAAATCTACAACTGGTTTATAGATCTGCTGGCCAAGCCTGTACAATATGGCSAGAACCAGAACTTCTCCTGACTAGGGAGAAGAATGCTCCTAGCTGCTCTGAGGGGTGACCCCTCCTTCCAAGGAGGTTTTATGGGGGGGCAACCAGGTTCTATGCATACTGACAAGCCAAGTAAGGCAGGTCGCTGGACTCAGGATGCAGAGAAAGAGTTGGTTCACCGTTGGTTCACAGTTTTGATGGATGAGAGTCATGATATGATCATTTCAAACTACACTGCCAAGCCAGAAGGCAAGTYACACTGCAGTGATCAAGAAAACAAGACCCAAGCACACTGTCAAGGCAATTAAGCCAAGCTACCACATAGTGAGCAAAGACATAGGCGTTGGAGTGGTCATWAAGAAGAAAAAAACAAAAACTCCAAAAGCCAAAAGAAAATAAACACTACAGCTTCTTGGTATTGTCAGGCCCACAACCTGTGGAGGTGGAGGTTAAAATATCAACTGTTGAARTTGCACTGCAGAAGGTGGTTGTTGTTGTTATCCAACAMRAAYGTTGGAAACTTYGACTYCATGACTTCTGGTGCAAAAGTAAGACTGGAACTGGCACATGGAGGAGTTACTAAGCTGGCGGTGAATCTTCTTGAAACTGAGTAGAGTACCATACACTCCAGGCATTGTTCTTCAAAGGAAAGGTCTTGATTGAATACTTGGGGCTGGTGGTGGTGTTGCTGTTGCCATCCAACATGACTGATGGAGACAACAACATTGTGACTCGAAGACACTGGTGCTTCTATCCATAAGAACAGGGGTAGTGGGARGGATGCTGCTGATCTCATCAGCATCATCTTGGTTGTATTGCTTGAAAGGTGCTGGGGTTGTTGGTGCTATCCAACATCAATGTCAGAAACAACATCATCTTGACCAGAATCATCATCTTCTTCCRGTCTGTAAATTGTACTGCAACTGCATGGAGATGCTGGGGAAACTTCTTTAAAACTGAATATGCAGTATAGACTCCAGGTGTTGTTCTTCATCCATAAATAATACTACTTTGCATGGAGCTKAGGCTGGGGGATCTTCTTCAAATCAAGTTTGTAGTAGCAGATACTCCAGTAGGCATTGTTGTTCTTCAATGAAAAGGTCTGGGTCGGATGCTGGGGGATGGGTTAGGTGCTGTTGTTGTACACAAGTGTCAGAAACAACAACATTGTAACTGAAATCTTCTTCTGGGCTGTAAATCATACTGAAACTGGTGCATGGAGCAGAGGCTGGGGAATCTTCAAACTGAGTAGTAGTATTTACTAGCATATAACCCAGGCATTGTTATTCAAAGGAAAGGYCAGGGTTGGATACTAGGGGTTTGGTTTATTGTTGTAGTAAACAAATGCCAGAAATAACTTCAAGACTGGAAGATACATTGTATGGAGGAGTTTGGGGATCCGGCTGACACCGGTGACAGAGAGCTGGGATCAGGATAGGGAAAAAGAGTACTAGTAGTAAAGGTGGGGATYTTACTAAAGTGTTTGGTTCTTATCTTTAATGGAGGCCAGGGAGATGGGTTTTCTCCTTTTGTAGGGGGTGCCATGGTGGTTCAGATGCCAGATGGTGCAGATCAAGTATGTACTATGATCTAACTGTGTAGGAATCAGTAGATTTTCCAAAGTGTAATTTTGGGTGTGCGAACATCCATTTTGAAAGATTTGTTTTGAAAATTAATAATTTATGATAATATGATAGTTGCTGTTACTATTCTTGTGAGTACTATTTATACCGTACTAGTAGTAGCTTTCTTGCACTAGTAGTCTACACACTCCTCCGCTACTACTACTAGTAGTATACATCAGAAATCTGCAAAATCAATCTTTCAAAACAAACATCCAGTGCTGGTTCTTGTTCTTGTTCTTGGAGTAGTAGTATTTATTCTAATGTTATGTGCTGTTCAGAGAATAATGAGAGTGCAGCTGTATTTGCATTTGCTGACTACTATTAAATATGGGAGTTCTGCTACAAATTAGACCAATAGTAGTAGCATGGGGTAAGTAAGATTACTAATAGTAGAATCATGGAAGTCAAATAGACTGAAATTGTCCTTCTGGAGCTAGGGAGTTTGAGGGGGAGAAAAATGTAAAAACATGGTATCAACAAATTTTTAATGTGCTGAAGCATGTACTACTAGGTTGAACGTGATTTTTTTCTGTAAAAATATAAAGTTACGGAAATGAGATGTTGGTGGCATGTGACGAAGTTATAAGTTTCCTGATATGCTAGTATGAAAGATTGAACAAATGACAAACGTACATACCGTACACCCAACTTTCGACTTCCCCTGGCTGCACACCACAAAAGACCTACCAGGTACTGGGCCCTCCGGAACCAACGCATACGCGTCCCCCCTTTGAAATCTAATATTGGGGGTATGATTTCATGTTTTTTTTTCACAAAAAAACGTGTTTTTTTTTCCAAACAATAACCCACGTTTCTAAAACGTGTTTTTTTTTTCCAAAAAATAACCCATGTTTTAAAACATGGGTTCCTGGGTTAACCCACAAATAACCCACGAATAACCCACAAAATAACCCATGAATAACCCACAAACCTGCTGGGCCTTTCTCCAAATATTAAAAACAGTGATCACCCTTGGTTCTCCATCAACCAAGATGACTTTAAATTTGTGGGTTATTCGTGGGTTCTTTTGCGGGTTATTTGTGGGTTCCTGGGTTCTTTCGTGGGTTATTTTTCAAATTAAAAAACCCACATTTTAGAAATGGGGGTTATTTTTCACCAAAAATAACCCACGTTTTTCTAGGGGAGGAATTCAAAAAGGGGGATGTGTGCGTGGGTACCGGAGGGCCCTGTAATTACTTGCATTAATGCCACTGGAACCATGTCGATTTCAATTTTTTAGGAAAAAAATTAGATTCCCAGGTCCCCCTCTGGGTACCAAAAATTGTGATCAGTTTTGATCACAAAAAAATGTGATCAGAAATAACAAATTTGTGATCAGTTTTTTGTGATCAATCTTGATCACAAATTCGAACTGTCTTGTGTACATTTTGTACTAGTCCCGTTTTTATCGTATAGCGTTGGCGGAGTGATTCCGGCCGACCCAGTCGTACATTAGCAATTCAATATGCGCAAAAGACCTACTGTAATTACTTGCATTAATGCCACTGGAACCATGTCGATTTCAATTTTTTAGGAAAAAAATTAGATTCCCAGGTCCCCCTCTGGGTACCAAAAATTGTGATCAGTTTTGATCACAAAAAAATGTGATCAGAAATAACAAATTTGTGATCAGTTTTTTGTGATCAATCTTGATCACAAATTCGAACTGTCTTGTGTACATTTTGTACTAGTCCCGTTTTTATCGTATAGCGTTGGCGGAGTGATTCCGGCCGACCCAGTCGTACATTAGCAATTCAATATATTCATAAACGTATATCAGTCAATATTTGTCGTACGCCGTACTACCCCACGCCATTAGAAAGCTCTTTGAATTCTCTTTTTAACCATGTGCTTATCATACTTAAGCGTCCGTTGGGGAAAAAGTTATGGCTGTTCGAGTGAGTTGAACCTCTCTTAATGCCCTACGTGTTTTTTGTACTATGCGGGGATTTTTGGCTATCTTTTTACCGTGTAATKACTCGTGGGATTAAAAATTTCACTTGTACTAGGGCTACATCGTGCACGTGCGCGAAACTATTTTGCAGCACGTTCGCGAAACTATTTTGCACGTGCGCAAAACTATTTGGTCGCATGAATGTGGGATTCAAAAATTCAGCACGTGCCTGCTGTAGTACACTGCAGTACAAGCCAATTTTTTAATCCCAGGAGTCGTTACATGGTAATTAGATAGCCAAAAATCTACGACTGGGTCGTACATTTGCCTGCCAACTCTATACGATATAAGTTTTAAATACCCTAACATAAATAATAACAGTATTTTTACACGTTTGTACTACTACTAATAGTACACCAGTCCTGTATTACCAATATAGTAATATCCCCTATTAAGAATTAACGCGACGTGCTACTAATATGACCATTAATGACTGAATATATATATATATATATATATATATTTATATATACATATTAATATCATATAAATCGAATATAAATATTAATGTAATAATAAAGTACATATTAATTCTAATCCGTTGGAAAAAATGTGATCAAAACGGATCACAAAAAATTGTGATCAAGAAATTCATCAATTTTGTGATCATTCCTGATCACATTTTTTTGTGATCAAAACCGATCACATAATGGAAAAAAGGGGACCGGAGAATTTAATTTTTTCGAAAAACATCGAAATCGACATGGTTCCTGGCTCTATTTCACTCGTGATTGAACTGAAAAATTGAGTCTATTTTCCGCTTGTATCCCGCCCATCAAAATCAAAAACGATTGAAGCACAAACT